TGGACAAGATCACTTAGGGAGTGATTATAGATTAGAAAAGAGGTCCACCGTGAAAGAGGTCTAATGTGAAAGATGAAGAAATGTAGAAAGAGCCAACAAATGTGCCTACATATTTGAGTTGCCCAGACAGGAAAACTGGGAGACATCCTGAACATTCACCCTCCCCGTCATCAGACTTAATCCACTCGCACATGCTAACAATTCTACCCCAAAATACACCGGGAATTTCTGTCTGTCTTCACCTCCATCATTGGTCCAGGCCTCTATCATCGCACCAAGATCACTGCTCCACTCTCCCAGCTCACCTCCCACATCCACTCTGCCCCCTCTAATCTGCCCTCCCCACACCACACAGCCAGAGTGATCTTTTAGAAATGCAGATCCTATCTTGTCCCTCCTCTGCTTAAAATTCTTCAATAACTTACCAATTCATTTAGTATTAATCCAAAATTCTTAGCATAGTTTACAAGACTCTATGGAATTCTTCTCTTGCTAACCTCACTTCCTGCAACCCCCTCTCCCCCGCCTCAATAACTGACACTTCAATCCTCACCAGCAGTGACAATGTTTCAGTTCCCCAAAAACACCATGTGAAGCACTTAGCACAAGGCTTGGCACAGAGTAGGCGCCGAATAAATGTAAACTAGTACTAGTACACTACCCCAGAGTATTATTCCCTGTTTAGCATGCTCTTCCCTTTATTATTCTAATTCCTACTCCTCCTTCAAGTCTGTGTTAGTTTTCTATTGCTGCATAACAAATTTCCACAAACCAAGTGGCTTAAAAGAACATAAACTTGTTATCTCATAGTTTCTGAGGATGTGGAGTCTGCCACATTCTAGCTAGGTCTTCTGCTAAGGCCCTCAAATGGCTGAAATTAAGGCTGGCTGCATTCTCATCTGAAGGGTCAACTAGAAAAGACCCACTTCCAAGATCCCTTAGAGAGTTCATAGAATTGACTTCTGTAAAACTGCAGTCCTCATTGCTTGCAAGCTGTCTGCCAAGAACCATCCTTAGCTACCTGCAGCCTCTCTCAGGTCTCATGGCCTCCTCCCATGAGCCACTCCTGGGCTCCTCACAGCATGGTGGTTTACTCCTTCAAGGCCAGAAGCATCATTTCTCTCAGGCTTCAGATCTTTTCCTTCAGTACGGGCCCTATGAACCAACTGCCCAGGATAATCTCCCTTTCGATTAACTCAGAGTCAATTGACTGGAGACCTTTATTATGTTGCAAAATCCCTTCACTTTTGTCATATGTTCTAATCACGGAAGAGAAATCCATCATATTCAGAGTCCCATCCACACTCAAAGAAAGGGGAGAGTGGGGCAGCCCAGGTGGCTCAGTGGTTTAGCGCCGCCTTCAGCCCAGGGCCTGATCCTGGAGATCTGGGATCGAGTCCCACGTTGGGCTCCCTGCATGGAGCCTGCTTCTCCCTCTGCCTGTGTCTCTTCCTCTCTCTGTGTCTCTGTGTGTCTCTCATGAATAAATAAATAAAATCAAGAAAGAAAGAAAGAAAGAAAGAAAGAAAGAAAGAAAGAAAGAAAGAAAGAAAGAAAGAAAGAAAGAAAGAAAGAAAAAGAAAGAAGAGAGTGTATCTACCAGGAGCTAGAAATCTTGGGGGCCATCTTTGAATTCTGCCTGCCACAGGGTTCTGGCTTAAAATCAGCTCCTTTTGGACACATGGGTGGCTCAGCAGTTGAGCATCTACCTTCGGCTCAGGGCATGATCACAGAGTCTCAGGATCAAGTCCCACATGGGGCTCCCCACAGGGAGCCTGCTTCTCCCTCTGCCTGTGTCTCTGCCCCTCTCTTTCTGTGTCTCATGAATAAATAAATAAAATCTTTTTTAAAAGATCACTTCCTTCAAGAGACCTTCTCTGGCCCCAAATCTAAAACAGGTCCCACATTATAGTTTTCCACATCACCCTGTATGTTTCTTTCATCGTGCTTTTCACAGATTATAATTGTATACTTATGTGTATTATTATTTGTTTGATGCATTTATTTATTTGTTTGATTCTCTTCATCCTGCAAGCTCCACAAGAGCAGGAATTTTGTTTTGCTCATCACTGTGCCTCCCACACCCCCACAGTTGGCAATATATAGATCGTTGAATGTATGAATGAATAAATGAACAAATCAAGCTAAGGATTAACCTACTTGCACACTAGGCAGACAAGAGAAGAAGTGCTCTGCACTTTTTAATCTCATTTAATTCTCACAATTATCCTTAGACTGTCACTATTAGCCCCATTTTACAGAGAAGGGAAAAAAGTTGAGAGAGGTCAACTTTCTTATCCAAAGTCACACAGCAGGTAACTGAAAGACTCAGGATTCAAACCCAGTTCTCACTATGAATATTGGGAACCTACTTTGGATTCGAAAGACTCAGAGAATTGGGTCTACCACCGCTTACTGACCACATGACCTGGCACAAGTCACTTCAGCTCTGAGTCTCAGTTTCTTTACTTGTGAAATAAGGGTGGTAATATCTACTGAAAAGTAGTTAGTGGGCAGCCCCGGTGGCTCAGCGGTTTAGCGCTGCCTTCAGCCCAGGGTGTGATCCTGGAGACCCAGGATCGAGTCCCACATCAGGCCCTGCATGGAGCCTGCTTCTCCCTCTGCCTGTGTCTCTGCCTCTCTCTCTCCGTGTGTCTCTCATGAATAAATAAATAAAATCTTAAAAAAAAAAAGAAAGAAAGAAAAGTAGTTAGCAAAAGTAAGATAATATGTATAAATTTCTTAAACATAGCAGATGGTCAGTAAATGTAGCCAATGGTTCCCACAGGCCAAAGGGCCACCCCCTGCTGAAATGAAAGACCTCTTTGGTTGAGTTAGGGAGTATAGGAAATGCACCCCAAGAAGGCAACCTATGAATCTCAGGTGCACATGCTTGATGTGATCCTACAAATAAAAATCTGGATTTGCAGGGATTTACATCAAAGTCAACCTGGAGGGGGATCCCTGGGTGGCGCAGCGGTTTGGCGCCTGCCTTTGGCCCAGGGCGCGATCCTGGAGACCCGGGATTGAGTCCCACGTCGGGCTCCCGGTGCATGGAGCCTGCTTCTCCCTCTGCCTGTGTCTCTGCCTCTCTCTCTCTCTCCCTGTGTGTGACTATCATAAAAAAAAAAAAAAAAAAAAAAAAAAAATTTTTAAAAAAAAAAAACAAAGTCAACCTGGAGGGGAACATTTGCCAAAAAGAGCTGTCCATCACCTGGCCTCTCTCTTCACTGCCCAGGGAATTCCTTGGGCAGATAGAAACAGTTCCTTCAAAAGCTTAGGGAGAGAGGTGCCTGGGTGGCTCAATCAGTTGGCGTCAGACTCTTGGTTTCAGCTCAGGTCATGGTCTCAGCATCATGGGATTCGAGCCCTATGTTGGGCTTGTACTCAGCAGGGAGTCTGCTTGAAGATTTTCTCTCTCCCTGCCCCTCCCCCGCTTATGTGTGTGCATGAGCATGCACTCTCTCTCAAATAAATTTAAACATTTTTAAAAAATAAAAAAAAAATTTTTTTTAAAATAAAAACAAAAAAACCTCAGGGAGTCCATGGCAGAAAAGGCATGAACTCTACCTCCTATTTCTGTCCTCTGCTTATGCTTCTCCAGGACAGTGATCATCACAGTAGGGACTTCCTGGGAAGGGGATCAGATCAAGGGGCGGGGGGTGAGGTGGGGGGGACTGCAAAGCCATTCAGGGGTACAGAGGCACCTGGGTGGTTCAGTTGGTTAAGTGTATGCCTTCAGCTCAGGTCATGATCCCAGAATCCTGGAATGGAGCCCTGCATCGCATCGGGCTTCCTGCTCAGCAGACAGTCTGCCTCTCCCTCTCTCTCTCCCTCTCCCTCTCCCTCTGCATGCTACGTCCCTCTGCTTGTGCTCCCCCTCTGTGTGTCAAATATATGGGTAAAAATATTTTTAAAAAAAAGATTCAGGGGTACAGAGCTGCCCTCCCTTCACAGTGTCTTATGTGTCCACCATGGATTCACTGCATGGGTCTCCCTATCACCCTCTCCCACTCCTCTTTTTTTCAACTTTTTTTTTTTAAGATTTTATTTTTAAGTAACCTCCGCATGCAACGTGGCTTGAACTCGTAACCCCAAGATCAAGAATCGCATGCTCTATGAGTTGAGCCAGCCAGGCATGCCACCCCACTCCCCTTTTATTTTTATTTTTATTTTTTTAAAGATTTTATTTATTCATGAGAGACACAGAGAGAGAGAGAAAAAAGAGAGAGAGAGAGAGAGAGGCAGACACACAAGCAGAGGGAGAAGCAGGCCCCATGCAGGGAGCCTGATGTGGGTCTCGATCCTGGGACTCAATCCTAGGACTCTGAGATCACACCCTGAGCGGAAGGCAGATGCTCAGCTACTGAACCACCTAGGCGCCCCCCCGACTCCCCTTTGAAAAAGGGACTCTGCTACCTGCCTTCAGCCCATAGAGTTGGTGTTGGTAAAATACTCATCAGATCTTCCTCCTCTGTGACCTAGAGCCCAGAGTCCTGGGTTAAGGTTAAGTCCGAGAAATAGAGTTGAACTGGGGGAGGGTGTGCTCTAACTATCATCCTGGTCTACCAGCTGGTGGGCACCCTTGGACTGGGATGCTGGTAGGATGCTGGCAAGATGCTCCACAACATCTTCATGTTAGCCATGAGGAAACCAAGAGCCCAGAGAGGGAGAAGGCTGGCCCAAAGCTGGTTAAGGAGCAGGCTACCACCTGCCTCTGTTTTTCTTCACTGACTTGGCTGCTCCATTTGTGTTCCACTCTGAGAAGCAGAAAGGCTAAAGTTACATGCAGGCAAGGGAGTACAACCATTTCCCTCCAGGCCTCTGGTTCTTCATCTGTTAAATGGGAATAATTATACTTCCCTGACAACACACTCGTGACCCTTAAGGGGAAATGAGTGCAGTGCGAATAGGAGCCCAGATTGCAGGGGAACTCTGAGGGCAGATGGGCCCACGAGATGTGGATTTACCTTATCATCTTCCCCCCAGGTGAGGCCCAGGCCTGGGTTGCCATGGATACCATGTCCCTGGAGCATCAGATCCAGAGTGTGCAACGCCACATCAGCTTCCTGAAAAAGGAGCAGATGGCCCTGCTGCGAGACCTGCACCTGGAAATCCTGAGGCTGCAGAAACGCTGTTCAGGTGAGGCCTGGAGGATGGGAGGTGGGAGAGGGGGACAGGAGGAGTGGTGGGCAGGGGGAGGCAGATCATGGAAGACCTCCACAAATATCAAGACAGTTAACAAGTTTGTCCTGCCCTCCCGGGTAGTGGGGAGCCATTGAAAGTTTCTGAATAGCATCATGCTATATTATGAAACTCGGCAGCTATATGGAAGATGAATTAGAGGGGAAGGGAGGCAAGGAGACTAGTGATGGGCTGATGAAACGGTTCAGTGAGTGATGAAAGGGGTAGAAAGGGGAAGACCAATGGGAGACAGGATGAAGGGGAAGACTTGGCAACTGATTGGATTTGTGAACAAGACAGAAAGAGGCACCAAGAATGAAGCCAAATCCCAGGCCTGACCTCTGCTCTTGGACCTCAGGCTTCAGCCGCCTGGCTGTCTCAGAGGCTGGGCTCTGGCCCAAGTGCTCACCCAGGCTGAGTCTCCAAGTGCAGCCTTTAGAGTCAATGACTCATAGAATGTGTCAGTTGGAAGAGCTCAAAGTCTTCATTATACAAGGTAAACTAAGACCCAGAGTGAGGAGAGAGAGAGAGAGAGAGAGAGAGAGAGAGAGAGAGAGAGAGAGAGAGAGAGAACCACTCAATACGCTAGTGACAGAGCCAAGATTAGAACCCAGGGCTCCAGACTCTCAGCTGTGCATGCCTCTGCAGCTTTCTGCAAATTCTCTCCCAAGATGCTCAGACTTCTACCTACCTTCCAGCCTCTGCTCATGGGAGGCTCCCCATTCTTCAGAAGGAAACTGAGTGACCTGCCTGGCTTCTCACTCTGTGGCATGAGAAGCTGGTCCTCCTGACTCTCAGCCACCACACCCTCCTCTGGCTCCATATATAGATTCAGCTGCTACATTCCTAGGCCAGGCTCCCTGCCATCTCCCTGAAGCCCGGATGGCAGTAGAGGCCAGCCCAGGCCATACCGACTCATCCCTGCCTGATGCCATTTTTTCATTCTAATGACAACATTAAAGGAAAATCAGAATGAGTGTGCCCTAAACCCTACAGCTCTTGCCCTAATTTCTTTTTTCTTTGCCCTAATTCTGAAGACCTGGGTCCTTCCACTCAGGACATAGGCCAGGATCCCAAGAAGGTGTAATAGGCAGCAACAGCCCCCACCGCCTTGCCCAGCTGGGTATGGAACTGCAGTCTCTTGGTTATTGATTAAGGAGATAAAAATACCTCTAGGCTGGTCTGGAGCAGCCACTCTTGGGGCTGAAATAACTGAATAAAGCCCTTATTCCAAGAGATGGAGGAGTGAAGAGGGGAAGGGAACAAAGAAGATTTTTTTCAAGGAGATTAAACAGACTCAGAGGGGCACCTGCTTGGCTCAGGCCATAGAGCACAGAACTCTGAATCTCAGGGTCATGAGGTCCAGCCCCTTGTTGGGCATGGAGCCTACTTTAAAAAGTAAAATAAATTTTAAAAAATGTAGGGACGCCTGGGTGGCTCAGTAGGTTAAGCGACTGCCTCGGGATCTCAGGGTCCTGGGATCAAGCCTCACATTGGTGTCCCTGCTCTTCCCTCTTCCTCCACCCCTCCCCTGGCTTGTGCTCTCTCTCTCTGTCTCTCTCGCTCACTCGCTCACACACTCTCTCTCAAATAAATAAAATCTTTTAACAAATAAATATTATATATATATATATATATATATATATATATATATATATATATATGTACCTGGGTGGCTCAATTGGTTGAGTTGAGCATCCAACTCTCTCTCTTTTTTTTAAGATTTTATTTATTTATTCATGAGAAACATAGAGAGAGAGGCAGAGACACAGAAGCAGGCTCCATGCAGGGAACCTGATGTGGGACTTGATCCCAGGATCACGCCCTGGGCCAAAGGCAGACGCTCAACCACTGAGCCACCCCGGCGACTCAGCATCCAACTCTTGATTTTGGCTCAGATCATGATCTCAGGGTCTTGAGATTGAGCCCATGTGGGCTCTCCCTTGGCCTCTCCTCCCTGCTTGAGCTCTCTCTCCCTCTCTCTCTCTCAAATAAAAAAAAAAAAATATATATATATATATATATATATGTAAAATAAACAGGGACTCAGAAGCTGGGAAGGGGATGGGAGAGAGGATGAACTAGTGTAGGAATCAAGTGGGCAGGGCTTCAGAAAGAGCCTGCCAAAAAGGGGTGCCACTCAGACTGAAGGGGTTTAGGAGATGGGAGTGTTCTGGGTGGTAGGGCAGCCTGGATGATGACAAGAACTGCCCATGTATTCAGCACTGACTTACTCCTGGTTTGGACCCTCCATTTATTTTCTCTAATTTAATCCTAGCAACAGCCCCTTGAGAGGCAGGTGTGATTTTGTTCCCATTTCACAGAGGAGAATACTGAGGCTCAGAGAGAGTTATTGTTACTGACCCAAGGTCACACAGGGTATCTGACCTCACTGCATGGTCTTCTAAAGGTAGGGATTCTTGCCAGAAGATGGGCAGGGAGATTTGATGGATGGGGGAGTGGAGTTCAACTAGGAGTCTATCTCCCCTCCCCCAACTTTCCTGGTTAAAGGTGAAACCAGCCCACTGGGAATTAGTGGCAGAGCCAAATCCTTTGGGGTACTCCGGGGCCTTGCAGGAGGGGCCAAGTTGGCTCCAGGTAGCCCTGGAGAGTAGAGGCATCAGGGTCCTCCCTGGGACTCCAGGAAGGAGGTTCAGACTCAGGTCACAACAAAAGGCCCAGGTACCCTGGCTCTCGGTCTCCTAACAACAGTTGGCCTCCCAAGGGAAGAGCCAGTGAGGAGAGGCAGACAGAGGGGCCGCAAGGCTAGACTCTGTAGGTGTTGTCGGGCATTGATCCCAGAGATTTGCTACCTTATCCCACTCCCAGGTTCACATGTCCTCCCTTTAGGCACCAGATTGCATCCCTGCAGGTACACACACTTGCTCCTGAAGAGGTGCCCTCTGCTGCCAGCGGCTGCCCGGGCTCCCTCCCAGTCCTTTCCCAGCTCTCAAGCCGTGGTGGAGTTGGGGGAGCTGGGGTGAGGCTGAAAAGATGATTAGACTCAGCTGGCTGAGGGAATGGGGCATTCTGGGCTGTAAGGAATGGGTACTGGGAAGACAGGCAGGCGCAGGGGTGGTGGCTGGGCTGCGGCTCCCAGGAGGAAACCTCTCTAGCACCCGCACCCTCAGCGAGCGGACCCCGCCCCTTGGCGAGCTGACCCCGCCCCTCAGCGCCAGCCAAGCCGCCTGTGGGCCTTCCGCCACCAGGGGGCGTTGTCCCCCGTGAGGCCCCTCTCCCTGCCTCGTGGAATATAGCAGAAAACAGGGCTTGGAAAGGAGCAGGGCTGATGCTCAGAAAATAACACAGGCACAGCAGCGCTGGCTGTGAAAATAGTGAAATGCACGTACCCTACTGGTAAATATCCACTTCCCTGAGTCCCCCTCCAGTGTCCCCAAGCAGCCTTCTCACATTCACCAACTAAACCCTGAAGGGGCTGTGGAACCCACACCACAGGGGTCCCTCCAGAACGCCTCTGGCTGGTTGTCATGTTAGATATTTGTACATCACTGCGGGGAAGGAGCAAATACCCCCCCAGCCTCCAAAGCAAGCCAGGCTCCTCAGTCCCACAAGGGTTGAACTAACTTCCACATGAACACATGGTGCTTGCACTGGAAAAATCTCTGGGCTTACAATCAGGCCAATCAGGCTTAGGCGGTGCCTTGCACCTCTCTTCATCTCTTCCCCTCACTGGACTGCAGTAAAATAGGTATGGAAGGTGGTTTAGATGGTTTCTAAGGATGCTATTATTGCCACTTGTTCGGTGATTCCCTGATCTCCCTCCCTCTCTTTCTCTCTCTCTCTGTCTCTGTCTCTTTGTCTCTCTCTCTCTCACACACACACACACACACACACACACACACACACACACACACAACTGCCTTTTATTTTCTCCCTCTAGAACTGACTCGTGACCTGGAGATGAGAGAGGCCCAGTCTCATCAGCAAGGTAAGAGAAGGATGACTGGTGGGGAGATGCCATAGGGGCCCAACAGGTCACCTTTTTCCCACCACTTAGTAGGACCCAAGCCTTCTCTGCCCCCAGGCCAGACTTGGGGGACAGCCACTCCTCAGCTTTTTTGAGCAGAGTACAGGATGTCAGCTCCATTTGCCTATTCATCTGGGTGGCTTTATGCAATGAACAACCGGCACTGGCACCACCATACCCTGTATCCATGTCTCTGTCCAAGTAGGAAAATGAAAGCTGGAGGGTTTGGTATACAGGAAGTCCACCTGGTCTATGACTCATCTCCCAAATCTTTCCTTTAAAAAAAAAATATTGTATTTATTTATTCATGAGGGACACAGAGAGAGAGGCAGAGACATAGGGAGGGAGAAGCAGGCTCCCTGCAGGAAGCCGGATGTGGGACTCAGATCCCACAACTCCGGGATCATGCCCTGAGCCAAAGGCAGACGCTCAAGCTCAACCGCTGAGCCACGCGGGTGTCCCGCTCCCTAATCTTTCCCATCCTTGCACAATGATTTCCATGATCAGTCCACACCTTCCAAGATGCTGAATGTTGAGATCAACACCATGGCAATATGGAGTGCATGACTTCAAGGAAACTTATCTAGGTGAGGAGAAAAAAGAAACACATGCACATCAGCAAATCCTTCATTTGACAAAAGCATAACTCCTTGCCATTGTAGCAATTCCACTAAAATATTTGTTTACTGATTATTACTTCACCTATAACATGGAGAGGGGGAGATGGTTGTTCAGTGGGCATAGAGTTTCAGTTTTGCAAAACAGAAAAGTTCTAAAGACCTGTTACACAACAATGTGACTTTACTTAAAACTACTAAACTGTAAAAAAAAAAAAAAACTACTAAACTGTACACTTGAAAACACTTAAGATGGTAAACTTAAGATGGTTATTTGTTTTTTGGTACAATTAAAAAAATTTTTTTAAAGGAGGGTTTCCATTGTTAAGATCTTAATCACCAAAATTAGGTGATCTTTGAGAACTGGGACTGGGTGTTATCCATTGTCTCAAGGTGCAAGACATGGAAAAGGACTCAGTAAAATGCTTAATTTCAAATGAATCACCATGTAGTCTTCCTTAGCCAGGAGGGATTTAGCAGAGTGGACTCCCTGCCATATTGATGTGCTGCTTGTAGATCAAGAGCTACATACATGATCAAAACTTAGGCATGGACAAAGCTGGGAGTTTAAGGTAAAATGTTGAGATTGCTTTGAATATTTGCATATTCGTGTGTAAAGATCTAAACATTTATAGATTTGAATGAATTCTGCCCACTGCCTAAAGTGGGCAACCTCTTTATGCCTCAGTGCTGGAAGGAAGGGGGAATACATCCCAAATACCAGATCTGTAACAAGAGCAACCTTCAACCCACCTACTATCCTTCCTTTGAAAGAGTTTCTGGGGTCATCTGACATTAAGGTATAGCCCAATGGGGGATCCCTGGGTGGCTCAGCAGTTTAGCTCCTGCCTTCGGCCCTGGAGTCCCAGGATCGAGTCCCACATCCGGCTCCCTGCATGGAGCCTGCTTCTCCCTCTGCTTGTGTCTCTGACTCTCTCTCTCTCTCTCTATCTCTCTCTGTCTCTCATGAATAAATAAGTAAAATCTTAAAAAAAAAAAAAAGATATAGCCCAACGTCCTGGTTTTTATCTTCTCAGTGGGTTTGAGAGCTCCATTTCTTTGTCCTCCTGACACTGATTTCCATGTCCTTGCCTAAGTCACCTTTTCCCTACCTTTTGTCACCTTTCAGCTGTCTGTCTCTACAGTCACTTACTTATGTGAATCCCAGGATTTGTTCCCTGCTGAAATGGAGCTCATGATCCAAGAGGCAGGGATCCTCAACACTGTGGGTACATTAGAATCATCTGGGAACTTTGAAGAAGCGCCAGTTCCCAGGTCCAATCCCAGAGATCCTGATTCAACTGGTCTTTGTTAGGGCCCAGGAAACTATATTCTAAAGCTCTCTGGGTGGTCAATATGTACCCAGTGTTGAAACTCAACGCAGCAGGCAAAGGCAAACAATAAATAACATCCATAAATTACGAGAGGTAACAACTGCTCTAGGAAAGAAACTGCAAGGTGCTGACCTACTTGATTCCCCTTTCCTGCCCACCTTCCCTAGTCGTAGGTCTGCCAGCCCCGCCCTCTTGCATGTCTCTCCTACCCACAGGCTTTTGCACAAACTGTTCCTCTGTGCAAAGCACCCTTCTCTCCCTCTTCACTGCTTAACTCCAACTCATTCTTCCAACTGCTGCTAGCCTAAGCGGCTCTTCTGCCGAGAAGACTGATTAGGTCACAGTATCCTGTTAGTCATTAGTCATGGCGTTGGCACATGTCACAGATGCAACCTCACATTCATTTGTGATTCGGGACGCTACCTCTCCCGCTACGCTTGCTGTGAGCCTCACGAGGAATGTTCCATCCCCCACCACATCCCCCAGTGCCTAACACAGTGCATACAGTAAGGGCTCCACAAATAACTGTGGATGGGATGACCGGGCAGGGAGGGTTTTTACGTTCAGGCTGAAACCTGAAGAGTTAGAGAGGCCAGATCGGTGCAAGGGCCCCGCGGACGAGAAAGGAAGGGCGGCGCAGCCGACGGGTCGGGGGCGAGGGAGAGCGCGGGAGAGCGCACAACCAGGGCGACGCGGGGCTCGGTAACGTGGACCGGCCAGCGGTGCGGCGTCGGCCGGGCGGGGGCCCTGCCACCTGTCTTCTCTCCTCCCCTCTCCAGAGGCGGCGAACCGCGAGCTCGAGAGCAAGTGCCGCGCGCTCGAGTCCCAGCTGGCCGCGCGGACGGCCGCCAACGCCGAGCTGCGGCGGGAGGTGGCGCAGCGCGAGGCGCTGGTGTCGGCGCTTCGCGGCAGCCTGCGCGCGGAGGAGCGCCGCTTCCTGGAGGAGCTGCGGCGCCGCAGCCACCGCGCCACCGTGCTGGGCACCGAGCTGCAGAAGCACACCGAGGCGGCCGCCTACCTCTCCTGCCAGCTGCACGCGGCGCGCCAGAGACTGCAGGCGCCGCGCCCGGGCCCCGCCGCCGCCGCGGCCCCCGAGCCCCGGCCCCGCCGCCGCGCACAGCGGGCCCGCCGCCCGCCCGCCGCCGAGGCCGCCGCCAAGGGCCCGGGCCGGGACTGGGCCGCCTGGGACCGCGCGGCCCGCGCCCTGGACGACGCCGATCCCATGCCCGACCCCGCGCTCTTCCTCTACGCCCGGAGGCCCCCGCGGCCCAGCGGCCGCAGCCCGCGCCAGCCACCGCCCCGGGAGCCCCCCGACCAAGCCGGCCCGCCCAGCGCTCCCGGGGAGCCCGAGTAGGCGCGCGGCGGCGGGTGGGGGGCGCGGAAGGCCGGCCCGGCGTCCCGCCACGAGCGCTGCTGGGGCTGGGGCCGCGCTGGCGGGTCCCGGGGGCCGAGCGGAGGCGGCCCCAGCTCCCCCACCCCTTCCGAGCGCCGCAGCCGGGCCGCGTCGCCGGCCCCGAGGCAGCTCTGCCGCGGGGCTCAGAGAGTGCGTGCGCCTTTCCGAGGAGAGGACTCGCGCGGTACGGACGCTCCTCTCGTCCCCGCCCCGCTGCAGGGTCGCGCCCTGTCCCGGGAAAGCTGACAATCGCGGGACGCGAGGGGGAAGGCTGGGCTGGCCTACGAGAGGAACGCAGCGGCACTTAGCACCCCTGGGCCTTCCAGCTCCCCTCTCGCCCCCGCCCCGCCCCGCCCCGCCCCGCACGGCCGCCCTTCCTGCCAAGCCTTCCTTTAAGGAGAGGCTCGGGCTGGGGGCTAGCGGCTAGCGGCTGGACCTCTTTTCTTCTGAAGCCGCTTCTCCTACCCCTACCCAGCTGATAGGTCCTTACCGGTGAGCACCCAACACTTTAAAGGCATTTCCTGCCAGAGCCCCTGGTAGGGAAAGTATGAAGCTTGAACTTCTGGAAGGTAGCACCCACAGACCCTTGGAGAGGAGGACAGAATGGGTTTTCTGGGAGAACCTGCTCTAAAGCTGTCTCCAGTTTAGTTCTTCCCCGGGATGCCCACCCAAGTATTCAGACTGAGAGCTGTGCTAGGGAAGCAAGGGGGCACCCTGGAATCAGCCACTCTGTCAGGCTGGTGGAAGGGCAGAAACTGCCTACCTCTCCTGGAGGTAGCTGGGAACCTGAAGGCTGCCTTGGGAGCTTTCCTAGTCCTGTTTAATGGTGCTAATTTCGCCCAGCTGCATCCAGAGGTGGGAAGAAAGGCCAGGTTCCTGGAAGTGGCAGTGGTTGGTCCAGGTTTGAGTTTGCTGGGGGCCGGCAGGGGTGTGTGTGGGGGTGTGTGTGTGTGCGCAGGGGGCAAGGGTAGGGCACAAGTTAGTTTCCTGTCTGGTCCCTCCAGGGGTGCCCCCAATGCTACCAGAACTGACAGTGGCTGGTGCTCCAGGTCCTCAACCCTCCTGCTGAGGATGGAGAGTGGTAAAATGGAAAGTGGGATACCCCACCTCCTAACTACCTTCTCCCCAGCTCCCCCCTCCTGACCAAAAGCAAGAAGTGCAGTTCCAGTCCAGCACACAGCCCCCCAGGCCCTAGCCCCAGCCCAGCCCCAAGAAAGCAAGCCCTAGAGCCCTTCCCCCATGCCATGGCTCCTCTGTTGGTCCTGCATTGAGTCCTAAGTGCCTGTGAGGTCTTAAAGGGGCTGCTGAGGGAGTGTGGGGGGGCAGGGAGAGGCCTTTACCTCACTCACAAATAACACATCCTGGCAGGTCCTGCCCTTGGCTGAGGCCAAGCATTCCGTGTGTCACCCAGGGTCTGGGAGGTGAGCAGAGTCAATCTCTAGGGATGGTGAACACTTCTCCCATCATGCTCCCTGTAATGAACAGGAGGAACCCGCAACCATGTTCACTTTCACTCTATGTGTTAGAGAGAGTGGGATCAACCAGAGGCAAAACCAGTGAGCACATTCCCAGCTCCCCCAAATACGCTGTCCTCCCCCAGCTGACACCAGGACTGCTGAGACCACTGAGCAATAAGCAGGCCTCATCCGGGTGTCCAACCACTGGGATGCCAGAGCCCAAGGTGTGGATACCCTTGGCACAGACCATGCTCTCTCCCTCTCAGAGTTGGGCCACAGTGGTGGCCTGGGGTCATTGCTCTGCCTGCCCTGGCCTCTTACCCTCCTCTCCTGCCCCATTTTTGTGCCTCTGCCCTCCGTGTCTCCCCTCAAGGGTGTGTGACTCACTGTCCCCCGGTCCTGTTGCCTCCCTTTCAGAGGTGTCTATATGAGGATGCCCTTCTCCTCTCTTGACTGCACTCTCTCGAAGGGGCCCAAAGGACTGTGGGAAGGAGGGAAAGGGTGTCTTTCTGGAGCAGCCCACCCGGACCCTGAGCTTCCACAACCACACTTTTGGGGCATACAGGGTGACTTTGTTTTGTTGATTCTTGTACAAAGATGGTAAAATACTTTATCCACCCACCCACCTACTAAAAGCCATAGCTATGCCCGCCTGGCCTCCTCCCAGCTTTATAGCAATAGCCCTTACTCCCCCTTCCTTCTTGGGGACCCAGAGTGTCTAGCTGGGGCCCTCTACCACACCCCACCCCAGGGAGCCTCCGGGCCTGCCGGCCTCTCCCTAAGTGACCCCATCAGCACCGCTGAACTCCTATCCCTCTTCTAAGTGACCAGAGATAATGACCCTTAATTATTTGTAGGGTGCTTGGAGATCCCCCAGATGAAAGTTTCTGAGAGTGCTGGGGTGGCTGACTTGCCGACTCTCACCTGAGGTGTTGAGGGTCTGGGAAAGGAAATAAGCCAACCCTCCTCCTCCATTCAACAAGCTGGAGGAGGGGCTGAAGCAGATGGAGGTTTTCCAATTTTAACAAATTCCTCTTCCCTGTTCTTTTCCTGGAAATAATGGACTGAAGACTTCCCTCTATCCATCTGCCCCGGGGGTTTGGAACAAAACCCTCAGTGCAGCAGAATGGGATTGGGAGTCAGCAGCCTGCCCTTGGCCTCAGGAGTCCCAAATTCCTCAGCCTCCAGCTCTCTTGGAGCCTAGAGGACCCACCCTGCCAAAGGAAAGAATCGCTCCCATAAGGCCCTGGAATGTCTGGGTGACTAGAAGAGAAAGGACTGTGTCTCTTCCCCTCTCCTCCACTCTTCTCTGCAGCACAAATCCCCATTGGAGGAGGGGCATGTTGACAAGAACACTCTGCCTTTGGTAGGGCTCCAGCCACACCCCAAGTGTGGATAGATCCAGGAAGGAGAGCTGCACGTGGGGATTGTTCTGGAAGTCAGCCAGGGACCAGTGGGCAATGCAGCATGAGACTCCGTGTCCCTGCCCCCCAAATCCCACCCACAGTGGCCTGCAGTTTGAGGGAGCACTCCAGGGCTGAAATGGGGTAGCTCTTCCCCAAACCAGCAGAATAGAGGTCTCCTAATGGGGAGGAAGGAGACCAGGAAGGTATGGAACAGCATCTCTTTAGTGCAGGGAGCTGGGGGCCCCTAAGCACCCTCTCCTTGAGGTGCCAGCCTTGAACGGGGGACATACAGGGCTTCCAAACCACCTGGCAGGAGCCCCATGGGTGGGGCAGAGGGATCCTGCTCCAAATTCTCTGTTGGCTGCGCTTTTTAATCCAATGCTTTTCAGAGTGTATTCACTCACCCACAGAAATAGAGCCCTATGCTTTAGGGATGACTGTCATATGCCTTATTCTTAATAAAATATCTTAAAAACATAAGCCAGACCTCTTCTCTGTGGGCACTCTGCCCTACTCCACCTTTGTTCTTGCAGGTGTGGGAAAGAATGCGGATGAAGGACATGGAGAGTAGTTTGGGAGTCAGCTGGTGGATTGTTGAGACTGGGAGCTGAGACTCTGGAGGCTTCTCACTGGATATTCCTCACAAGGCACATCTGAGGTGTCCCAATGCTCAAGCTGGCCCTGACTCTTTCCCCGTACCACCCCTATCCAAATGAACAAATGAGACCTTAGCTCTGAGGCTCCTGGCTACAGCTGGGAGAGATAGACTGGGAGGTCTCCAGGCCTGGAATTGCCCATACTTCAGTCTGGAAAGGAATCCTGGGGTTCTGGCATCTTTGGCCATGCTGGTTCCCCTTCCCTGACATCCAAGCCCATCTGATCCAGCTACAAGAAGCCCAGCCTCCCAGAAATGAGCCCTATTCTTACATTCCATTAATGAGGGTTACCCTGAGACTGCAATTAAGGTGTTTGGCACAGCCAGCACCCACAAGAATTTAAACCTGTACATTTTCAGTGTAGGTCTATGTTGTGGACCACTCTGGAAAAAAAGCAGCAGCCCTGTCTTCTAAGGATTTGGGGGACATAATGGTTTCCCTGAAACTCTTCTGATATAGGATCCATTGTTTCCTTTTGGGGAACTGCCCTTTTTTTTTTTTTTTTTTAAGATTTTATGTATTTATTCAAGAGAGATATAGAAAGGAGAGAGAAGCAGAGACACAGGCAGAGGGAGAAGCAGGCTCCATGCAGGGAGCCTGATGCGGGACTTGATCCCAGGACTCCAGGATCTCGCCTGGGCTGAAGGCAGCACTAAACCACTGAGCCACCCAGGTGGTCCCGGGAACTGCCCTTCTATTTCAGTTGGGGGGTGGGGGTGCTACCTCTACTCATGTGACCCAGGTAAAGTAAGTCACCCTGATTGGGCTGGAAGTGGGCACATGATTCAGTCTGAGCCAATGAGAGTCAGTCTCAGGACTTTTGCTGGATCCATCCATTGAACATACCAAGTTAGATGCCAGGGATACAACAGTGAATAAAACAACTATTGAGAAATACAAACTCTCGGGTGGCTAAAATAGCAGAATGTCAGTCTGGAGGTCTGGCAGGCTGTTTGCCACCACAAGGGATACTGAATATGAAGCTATCACACCAGAGGCAAAAGCAGAAGAGATGGAGACAATTCCTGGTAATTAAGCTGCTGGATCCAGCTTTCCTGCATCACATATACCCCTGCCCCTTTCAGGTATGTGAACTAATACACCACCCTCTTCTAAGTGGTCTACATTTTTTGTTTTTAAGTGGTCTGCATTAATTTGTGCATTAAAAAACGATTTTATTTATTTATATATTCATGAGAGACACACACAGAGAGGCAGAGACATAGTCAAAGGGAGAAGCAGGCTCCCTGCAGAGAGCCTAATGTGGGACTCTATCCCAGGACCCCAGGATCAGGAACTGAGCCAAAGACAGACACTCAACTTGAGCCCCCCAGGTGCCCCAATTTGTGCATTTTTAACTTTATTTTTTGAACGAATTTTAGACTTAGAGAAATGCTGCAAAAATAATAGAGAGTCCCTGTATATCCTTTACCCAGCTTCCC